GCGATCACCGAGGAAGAGCAAGCCTTCGCCCACTTTCAGGCGAGCCAGAGGCGTCTGCAGGACGCCTGACAGCAGATCAAGTGGCAGGAAGTTCTTTGGAAACGGCGGCGGATCTCGAGGCGACGGCCGCCAAGGACCGCGCCCCAGGCGCGGCGGAGGCCATCGCGCGGGGGCATGTCTAGACAAAGCTCGCCCCAAGGTTGGACGACGGCAAGGGCGCCGGTAGCAGAGGCTCCGGCGGCAGGTTCACGAGTCTCGCGCTGACGGCAGATATTTGCTACGACGCGGAGAACGATGATATGCCGACCGCCGAGGACCGCGGCAACGCGGTGCACTTCGACGACCCTGGGGCGCGGACGGCGCGCCATGCGGAACGCGCGTCGGAGGCTGGGCGCGGCATCGTGGATTGCACGGCCACCAAGACCATCGGCGGAGTCGTGGCCGTGGAGACGCTCAACGACATCCTGGTGTCTCGCGGCCATTAGCACACGGAGGTGGACCTCCACGACCAGCCCGTTTACAAGTTCGGTTGTCCACGCGATCGACGCCAAGGGCATGCCGATCCTTGTGTCGCTCGAGACCCTGAACAGGCTGGGCGCGACCGAGGGCTTCGAGGTGGGCTGCGGCATGTTCAAGAAGATCGACCCGCCCAAGATGCTCACCTTTCCTCGATCACGGACCGGCCACCTCCTGATCGACCTGGCGCGCGACCTGCTGGGTGACGCGGCCGCGGCTGAGAGGCCGGCGGATTGCATTCTGCGTCGAGGCGTGGCATATCTCTCAGACAGGCCTGCAGGGTCACCGGCAGGCGATGGAGCGCAGGAGTCGAGCGCCCCATGCATCCACCCCCTGTCCTCACCATCACCTTCGGCGACGCTGGCATCAGCGTCGAGCAGCGGCCCAGGTCAGGCCTCGAGTTCGAGGGCGCCCGCGGACTCGACGGAGACGCCTGGCGCGTCGACGGGGCGCCCAAGGGCGTCGACGGGGAAGCAGGGGGCACCCACGGGCCCTGAGAGCACGACGTCGGGGCTTCAGAGGACACGAGGCCGCAGATCACGCCCTTGGGCACGGGCGGGGGGGGGGGGGGGGGGCACGCGGGCTTCTCGATGCCAATTTTGGAAGTGACAGGAGCCCCCCAGAGTATTCAATGGGCCTGCCAATCCACTTGTAGGTGGCAAGGTCCTCTACGACAACAGCTGGGCCCCTGAACGGGTCCGAGAGCGAAAAGCTGGAGAGGCAGAAAAAGAGCGCAAAGAGAAATCCAACATGGCCTACAACATGAAGCACCAGAGCGCTGCGTCTCGAACGTCTCGAGCGCATGGCCGAGCGGCTGGCCGAGCTGGCGCAGCCGGGCGAGGACGGCTTCAACTTGGCGGTGGAGAAGCAGCGGGCCAGGCTGCGCCAGATCTTCTAGGCCATGCCCATCAGCGGGGCCCCTGATCGCCACGAGAAGCACGCCGACCAGCTCGCGGACGCGAGGGCCATGGGATGCGCATTGGACGGCAAGGGGCCCCGGGGCGATCAGACCCCACGGCGGAGATGCGCGGGCTCAAATTGGCGAAGGCCAAAGGGTCCGACCCGATGCCGTTCGGCAGGCACCGATGCACGACGACCCAGGCGCTCTTGGAGCAGGAGCGGGAGCACGCCAGATGCTTGGTCAGCATGAACAAGTACCCAGCGCATCACGGACCGGTGGGTCTCTCAGGGCATCCAGTGCGAGGGCGCGATGAACCAGGCGAAGCGCGAGCTTCCGCAGGCGAGGGTCAAGTCGCACAAGCACGAGAAGTCAGATAACGCACGGTTTCTGATGCTGGCGCAGCCCCCTCAGCGCGCGACGGCGAAGCGGTCTACGCAGGAGGAATCCAGCGAGATGGGCACCAGCACGAAGACCAAGGAGGAGCAGATCATCGACCTGCCGGGCGACGTGGAGATGGCCGCGAACGCGCTGCCGACCAGGGCGCAGAAGGTCGAGGAGAAGAGCTCGCCGTCGAACGGCACATCTGGGCCGGCGGGCCAGGGGTGCGAAAGCCTGACCGACTCTCAGGCCACTTGGCCAGCGGGGTGCCTGGACAAGAATGCGGCGCCAGCCTGGACGTTCCTGACCGGAGTTGCTAGAGTGAACCTGATTGAGGGCTGCTGGCCACCAGCGCC